TATAAAACCCCCAAAATAATAATAATAATAATAAATTAATTAGGAGAAGAAGAAATAGAAAACCGAGAAGAGGAGGAAGGAGAGGCACGGCCAAAGGCAGCAGCACCACGACACGTGGCTACTAGTGGCCGGTGGTGGTGGCTAGCGCCAATGGCTGGCTAGAGGAGGAAATAGCCGGCGATGGAGGTGGTGATTTGTGGTGGTTGGCGCAAGAATTGAGAGAAAGAGAGAAGAGAATTAGAGGGAAAGAAGACAGCTTTGCTGTGAGTTTTTAGCTATGATTCAAAAGGTATTTATAGGCTAGCTCATTCAAGAATTAAGGTAAGAAAATGTAGGAAGAATTATGGCAAATTTGGTTTAAGGAATTACTTGGAAAAGTGAGCTAAAGAATTAAGGAAAGTTTAGATTTATGGTGATTAAGCAATTGGGAATTATGGTAAGTATGTTGTCATGAAAAATAATATGGTAAATGGCTTTGCTTAGGGAATAATCAAGAATGGTTTAAGGCAAATAAATAAGATGATCGAATATTTTGGAGATGGAAAATAAGAATCAAGGAAATAATAGAATTTAAGGAAGATAATTATAATACAAGAATTACTAAAATAAATATATACACACATATACATATATTTATATATATATATATACATATATATATATATATAAATATATATATATGTATATATATATATATAAATATATGTATATGTGTGTATATATATGTATATATATATATATAAATATATGTATATGTGTGTGTATATAATATATATACACACACACACACACACCAATATCCTAAAATAATAGTTAAGTTTAAAAATGTCTTTGACGCCAAAATTCAAATATCATTTTGGCTTCAAAATTCAAATAGTAAAATAAATTACTAAAATACCCTTTTTAGAAAATAATAATTAATTAATTATTAGAAAATACGTTTTAAAAATACGGGATATTACAGTCTACCACCCTTTAAAAGAAGTTTCGTCCCAAAACTTAATCAAAAGAGATACGAAAATCATTTCAAATTATTTTAAGTTATTGGTTCATGCACATCCTAACCCGACTCAAGACTGCAACTAACTCAAGAAAGACTAAAAACACTAAAAAATGACTCAAAACGCAAACGCGCAAAACTCTATCGCCTCTACACTCCTTAAAAGGAGTTACGCCCCCGTAACTCGACCACGAACCGTAGTTAAACAGTTTTGGGTGACGTTTTCTCATATCAGCCTCAGCTTCCCAAGTAGCCTCTCAGTTTTATTGTTCGACCATAACATTTTCACAATTCTCACATCCTTGTTCCTTGTGCTTCTCAGTTTAGTATCTAAAATCTTCACTGGTCTTTCCTCAACACATATGTCAAATTCTCTTCCATCTCAATGGTTTTCGGTTGTAACACATGTTTCACATCAAGTACAAACTTTCGAATTTGACTCACATGAAACACATTGTGAACCCTTTCTAGCTCATTGGGCAAATCCAACTTATACGCCACTTCTCCCCACTTTCTGAATGATCTCACATGGCCCTATGTACTTTAGGCTTAACTTTCCTTTCTTTCGGAACCTCATTACCCCTTTCATGGGTGAAATCTTCAACAACACCTTCTCTCCCACTTCATTTTTCTATCCCTTCTTTTCAAATCAGCATAACTTTTCTGTCGATCTTAGGCTGCCTTTATCTTCTCTTGGATCAACTTTACTTGTTTCACCGTATCCTCAATCATCTCAGGCCTGAGTACCATTCCAACAAACTAGGCTTCTACACTTCCGACCATACAGAGCTTCAAACGGTGCCATTCAAATGCTTGCCTGATAACTGTTGTTGTAGGCAAACTCGATCAAATCCAAGTGGTCTTTCCAAGACCCTTGATACTCCATCACACATGCTCTCGACATATCTTCCAATATTTGAAGACATGTTCTCTCAGTCTGACCATCCATCGCAAGATGAAATATATTGCTCATTAGCAACTTTGTTCCCATCGCCTCTTGCAAACTTTGCCAAAAGTTAGACAGGAATCTTGAATCTCTATCTGAAATTATATCCGTGGGTACTCCATGGTACTTCACCACAAACTTCACATAAGCTTTTCCCAACTGATCCATAGTCCAAGTACTTATCATGGGTATAAACGCTGCTGACTTTGTCAACCTATCCACTATTACCCAAATAGTGTCATTCACAGCCTTTGTCTTCGGCAATGCTCTAACAAAATCCATAGAAATCGAATCCCACTTCCAGGTTAGCACTTCCAAGGATTGGACCTTTCCTTGAGGCTTGCGATGCTCAATTTTCACTTTTTGACAAGTCAAACACTTGGCCACAAATTTTTAGCTACATCTCTCTTCATATTGGGCCAACAAAAAGTCTTCCTCATATCCTTATACAACTTATCCCCTTCAATAGGGCTGAGCAAAACTATCCGAAAATCCGATGATCCGATCCGCATCCGATCCAAAAATTATGGATATCCGATCCGAAAAAATCGGATATCGGATCGGATATCGGATATCCAAATTTTGGATTTTGGATATCCGATATCCGAAAAAAAGTTGGATATCGGATATCCGATCCGATATCCGAAAAAATACCTAAATCAGCAAACCTTAAATACCCCGAAGGCCCAAATACCTCCAATGGCCCAAATGCCCAAACCAACAAACCCTAAATCAAAACCCTTCACCGCCCTTCTCTCTTTCCTCTCAAATCTCTAGCTCATCTCTTTCTCCTCTCAAATCTCTTTCTGTAATTTTCATCCTCACTGCAGTTCAAGTCTTGGAATCTGAAGTTGATAGATTTTGACGATCTCAACTTCGATCCTCATGGTTGCTTTATTGGCGACCCACACAACACCATCCTCCAAGTCGTCATCAACAACCGCGACCGTTCGTGCATTCCTCCATCGAGCTTCCAACCCACAACACCGAAGACGACCCTCTTCTAAACTTCATTTCAATGGCAATTAATATTTCTTTGTTTTTTATTTAGATTTGTGTGAAAATTTTTTGTTTTGTAATTGGTTTGTGTATAATTTATTGTTTTATAATTTGTGAAAACTATTTGTTGTATTTTTTAAATTTTTTATTTGTTTTTTTCTCATTTTTCTGGTTGTTCAAGACTTTGAAGGTTACGATCTGTTGAAGGCTTCAAGTAGTTGTAATGAATTTTTTTTTTTTTTTTTGGTTTAGAACACTTGCAGTGAATTTTTTTTATAGAATTAATGCAGAATTAATTTAATTCACCTTTTAAATAAAAATACCTTTTAATTATAATTAATATAATATAATATTATTAAATGGGTCGGATATTGGATATCCGAGCTATCCGATCCGAAATTTTCGAATATTCGGATATCGGATATCCGAAACTTTCGGATCGGATATCGGATATCAGATATCCTAATTTTCGGATACGGATATCCGATCTGTGCTCACCCCTACCCTCCAAGATGCATTGAATAAGGAGAATTATGGGCTTGTTCCATCAATCTTTGCTTCAAATCTCCAAGACTTTGTGGCACACACCATCTTTCTTTGAAACGAATACTCCCTTCATCACTAGTGGTGAAATCCAACACTTAACCTTCATCACTAGTGGTGAAATCCAACACTTAACCTTCATCAATCTTTTTCTTTATTTCCTTTAACTTCTCATCATCCAATTGACTCTCCCTAATCTCATCATAAATAGATGGTTGAATCACCAATGCATTCAACATCCTAGTCACTTCTCTATGTTCCATCACCTCCAAGTTCATTTTCTGAAACTCCACACATAACTGATCTGGCACTACCACTACATACATCGAATATTCTGACTTCCTACTCAAAGCATCTACCAAAACATTAGCTTTTCCTTCATGATATTGAATATCCAATTCATAATCACTAAGAAATTCCAACCATTTCCTTTGCCTTCCATTCAGATACCTTTGTGTGAAAATATACTTCAAACTCTTGTGATCTGTGAAAATCTTACAAGTCACCCCATACAAATAATGCCTCCAAATCTTCAAAGAAAACACTATTGCAGCTAACTCCAAATCATGGGTTGGGTAATTCACCTCATGTGGTTTCAATTGCCTTTAAGCATACGCAATCACTCTTCGACTCTGCATTAAAACACACCCCAATCCAAACTTCAATGCATCACTATACACCTCATATAGATCGCTTCCATAAGGCAAAGCCAGCGCAGGTGTTGTGGTTAACCTTTCTTTCAAGGTTTGAAACGCCTCATACTCTTGAGTCCATGAAAACTTATGCTCCTTTTACATCAAACTTGTCATGGGCTTTGAAATCCTTGAAAAATCCTCCACAAACCTTTTGTAATAGCCTGCTAAACCCAAGAAACTTCTTACATCTGACACATTCTTTGGAGTCGGCCATTCCCTGACTGCTTGAATCTTGCTTATATCAACTGAAACTCCTTCCTTGGAAATCACATGGCCCAAAAATGCCACTTTTTCCAACCAGAACTCACACTTTGACAACTTAGCATACAATTGGTGCTCTCTCAAACATGAAAATACTTGTCTTAAATGCTCCTTGTGTTCCTCTTTATCCCTTGAATAAATCAAAATATCATTAATGAACACCACTACAAACTTATCCAAGTATGGCCTGAAAATCTTATGCATCAAATCCATGGACACTGCTGGTGCATTGGTCAAACCAAACGGCATAACTGTGAACTCATAGTGACCATAAAGGGTCCTGAAAGCACTCTTTGGGAATATCTTGCTCCGCAATTCTCAACTGGTGATAACTTGACCTCAAATCTATCTTCGAAAATACCCCATCCCCTTTCAACTGATCAAACAAATCACCGATCCTTGGTAATGGATACTTATTCTTCACTATAACCTTATTCAACTCTCGATAATCAATACACAACCTCATACTTCCATCCTTTCTCTTTACAAATAACACAAGAGCTCCCCAAGGTGAGGAACTAGGTTGAATGTAACCTTTCTCTAATAAATCATCCAACTAAGTCTTCAACTCTTTCATCTCAGCTTGAGCCATCCTATTTGGAGCCTTAGAAATAGGTTCGGTACCAAGCACTAGGTCGATAGTGAACTCAACATCCCTCACTGGTGGCATACCAGGAATCTCATCTAGAAACACATCAGGAAACTATCCTATAACAGGAATACTTTCCTTACTCTTATCTTCCTCACTTCCAACTTCTTGAACATTACACATAAACAGAGGATAACCCTTCTTAACAAACTTCTGTAGTTGCATTGCAGAAATAATTCTCAATCCCAAACTCTTCCCTTCCTTTCTGTAAGTTACTCTAGTTTTACTTGGGCTATTCAAATTAACCTTTTCAGCTGCACAGTAAATCTTGGCTTCATACTTTCCCAACCAATCCATACCCAAAATCACATCGAGATCCTTCAAATCGAACTCGATCAAATCCGACGGAAACTCTACCCTAGAAATGGAAAGAGGTACACTCCTAAACAACTTGGAATAATTCCACACTTCCCCAGACGGAATAGACACATCTAAAGAAACTGAATCAGGACTCCCTAACCCAAGACTATCAACCACTCTCTTAGAAATAAAATAATGGGATGCACTCGAATCAAACAAAACTTTCGCAGACAAAAAACATATAAGGAAAACACTAATTGCCACATCATTAGAAGTTTCAGCCTCACGGCTATTCATCACGAACACACGACCCTTTAGGGCACCTCTTGCGACGCTACAGGTTCCAACCTTGGGTGCAAATCCACTAGGCTGCGATGGTTTGCTAGGAGCACTAGACTCTCTCACCTTTCCTGCGTTAATGTCAGCCACTTTCTTGAAACAATCATACTCACGGTGTCCCAACTTCTGGCAGTAACTACAAGTTACTGGGTTCCCCTCACAGTCCTTCCCTGGGTGGTCTTTCTTACACTGCTTGCAGAAATACTTCCTCTTGGGTTTCTCACCCCTTTGGTTTCCATTCCCTCTAGCATTGGCCGACTGGCCTCTATTCCCTTTCCCAAAGTTCCCCTTATTGTCCCTCCTATCTCCAGAATTCCCGTGGTGGTTACCATTAGGCTTATGCCTCTTTTCACCCTTGTGAAAAGAGTCCTAGTTCTTCCTTTTCTCTCTAGAATGCTCCAATTCTCTCCCCTTGATCCCGTACAGGTGGGTTGCACGGCCATAGACTTCATCTAGGGTCTCAAAAGTTACTCCCCGTGGCTTCCCTTGGAGGGTCAGGGTCAGGCCTTGCTCAAATCTCTGAGCTTTGATGGTTTCAGTTGGGACAACTTCAAGGCAAACCTCATCAACTCAATGAACTTTTTGTAGTACTCATTGATAGACATGTTCCCCATTCTGAGGTTGGTAAACTCCATACACTTCATCTTTCTCAGGTAGGAAGGGTAAAACTTCTCCCTCAAGGCTTCCTTAAACTCATCCCACCCAAAGTTTGGTTTCTTCAACAACTCATCCTTTCTTTGGGCCCACCATAAGTCAGCTTCCTCCCTCAGATAGTAAACATCATTATTCACCCTCAGCTCACTTGGGCAATTGATAGCATCAAACAACTTGTCAAACTCCCTAATCCAGTTTTCAAGACTGACTGGGTCCTCTTTTCCCAAGTAAACTGGTGGTTTGGTTGCAACAAATCTCTTAAAAACTTCACTATAAGAGTCAAGGTCAAAATTACAATTTCCTTGGTTCACCACTTTCGTGATGTTTTCAGTGATACTAGTTAACTTTCTAAGGACCTTCCCTACTTTAGAACCAGTGCGCCTACTTCCCATTTGGTTTCTCATTCATGCAGACATAATTCCTGGGTATTATACCATACTTTGAAAAATTAAAACAAGTTCTACTCATATAAGCATTTAATTCACTCAATATCATTAGAAAATTAAAAGTACAACTCTGCCATCTAAGGCAATTATTGAAAGCAATAAACATAGCATAGTTCAATCATTCATGCAACACTCTCAGAATAGTCATCCTCATTGGGATCATAGTCAGGATCATCTTTCTTAGCATTCCCCTTATCATTTGGGTCAGTCATGAAAGTTGGATTATAGCCACTGTAACTTGGAGTATGGCCTTAACTTGAATTTGAACTGTAGTTTGGGCTTTTGTGTGGACTAGAACAACCACAAGTTGGCTTTAAAGAAGCATTGGGCTTTTGTTGAACTTTGGTGAAGATGGATGGTATTCAAGACTTGGTGACTTTGGATCAATTTCTCAGTTAAGATTTCTGGGCCTTTTAGCAATACGATAATGGGCTTTTGGACTTGGACGCCTTGGAGTTTCATAGCTTAAAGTAGGTGAAGGAGAAGGGTAATTCTTTCTCCTCCAAAGAGGTGGTATGGACTCATCAATGGAGGACTCAAATTCATGACGACGCTTTCGGTATGCAAAAGGTAGTTGAGCATTTAAGTATTACATTTGGTCAACTTTTCTCAAGGTGGCATTCTTCGAAAGTTTGGGAAATTTCAGAATTCTCCTCCTAGGCTCATAGTCACGTTCAACGTAGTGCAAGTCTCTTTTGAAGCTAGACATGGTTGCTAACCACTTCCCTTCATGATGATGTTTTTCATTCCACATTCCATTATCCTTGATTACATCCTTATACTTGTCAAAGAGGGGTTTATATTTGTAGACTCTAGGCAAATGGGCTAAGGCCAAAAGAATCATCCAAGGTGGTTGGGTCAACAGTTCCAATTCAAACCGTTCATAGAGGGTTAAGCCTAAAGTAACTATGCCTGTCACAAACTCACTAACACTGACTCCATCATCTTTAAAATAATTCAAGTTAAAGTATTTCTTTCTCATTTCATCAATCTTTTCCATCTGTTTCACATACACATGCAAGACAATCAAAATTCAATGCCAATTCACATAAACAATTCAATTCAAAAATCCATATGCATAAACAATTCATAACTCAATCAACCAAGTATAACTCAAGATCACCCAACTATGGGAAATAACTTAAAAATTTCGGACCTCTTGACAATAGACTAAGGTGTTTTAACACCAACTTTAATGCACACATAATCACACAAACTCAAGCTTCAAATAGTTTCGATTCTTTTTGTTTTCAAAAATAATAATAATGTACTTGAATCATGATATTAGATGGTCGAGCCCGCGTCTCCCAGGTAACTTACCTACAGCGTCGAGGCGAGCCTTACCTAGACAGAGAGTCGTACCCATTGTAGGCCTCCGTAGAGAACTCGATAATCCTTTTCTCAATCATCTTTCCAAATAAGAAAATAGTTTTTATCTTAAAGTAATGTTTTTGACTTTCACACACAATGCGAAACTCTATCCTACATCCCCTCTTAAGTCTACCCACAATTTTTATTTATTTCCCATTTTAATCTTTTTAAGACAGAAAACTTATACCGCTTTATAACACCCCAAAATCTCCCTCTACAGAAATACTAGTATAATACGTATAATTATACCGTAAAGATAAACTTAGGCGTATTACCGCCGCGTGATTACGCAAGACTACTCAAAACTACTAAACCAAACCAAAACTTTGCAACGGAAACTCAAACTCTTCCTTTATTAATACTTATTAAAATAGTAAGCATTGTTATGAGTACTCAAAAATAGAAAAAAAGACCAACATTCCTAAACTAGGTGAAGCATATCTTGGGACTCCCAAATGCTCATTTATTGACTCCACCTGAAAATAGTCCACACTACTTACCATTAAGGTGAACAGGGCGAACCAAAACAAATAGGAAAAACGGATTAGCAAAATATGCTAAGTACGATAAGTGCAAGAAAAGTAAATTCAATTTATTAGCAAACATGCTTTTAAAACCAATTCCAATAATTAATTCAATAATTCCAAATTCATAATTCAAAACCAAATTCTCAAGATTCTCAAAATAATTCCAATAACTCAATAATTCTATAATAGTGATTATTAAAATCAATTTCTCTTTTCAAAAACTCAATTCCTCTCCTAAGTGTGCACACACCCCAAGCTAGTATCTTTATATTGAAAGCTATACTTGAGGAAAGACTAGGTCATACAAAATCCATAGTCTTAAATGAATCCGCATAGTAGGATTAATATAATCATGCTTGTAAAGCTTTAATATTAATTCAAAAATTCCTCTTAAAATCAATAATTCAATCCCTTATAATAAATCAACTCAAAACTCCTTTTTATTAAATTCTACATGCTTTAGAAATCAAACCTTTTTAAATATGATAAATAATTCTATTACTTAAAACATGATATTAAAATCAATCCTTCAATTATTTATTAAAACCAATTCCTTTAAACATACTTTATTTCATAAATCATAATTCAAATCAATTTAATCCAATCATCATAGAAATCATACAAAACATGTTTATTCAGTCCAATCAATTTCAAAAGTATCTAGCCACCTAAACATACCTTAAACCTCACTTAGCAAACACACAAAAAAGAACCTCAAGAACTCTTGTGAAAAACACCCTACAATTAAATATAATCTTAATAAGGTCATCAAATGATCATAACAATTAAAATAAAACCCCCAATTATATGTACATAAGCCTTACAAAATTCTTTTTCATAAACTTGAATAATAAACTGATTATATTTAATTACAAACACTCATAATATTTTTTTATAAAACCCCCATATTAATAATAAAATTAATTAGGAGAAGAGAAGAAGAAATAGATAACCGAGAAGAGGAGGAAGGAGATGCACGACCAAGGGTAGCAGCACCACGGCACGTGGCTGCTGGTGGCCAGAGGTGGTGGCTGACGCCGGTGGCTGGCCGGAGGAGGTGGAAGCCGGCGGTGGAGGTGGTGATTTGTGGTGATTGGCGCAAGAATTGAAAGAAAGAGAGAAGAGTATTAGAGAGAAATTAGAGAGAAAGAAGAGAGCTTTGCTATGAGTTTTTAGCTATGATTCAAGGGGTATTTATAGGCTAGCTCATTCAAGAATTAAGGTTAGAAAATGTAGGAAGAATTATGGCAAATTTGGTTTAAGGAATTACTTGGAAAAGTGAGCTATTGAATTAAGGAAAGTTTAGTTTTATGGTGATTAAGCAATTGGGAATTATGGTAAGTATGTTGTCATGAAAAATAATATGGTAAATGGCTTTTCTTGGGGAATAATCAAGAATGGTTTAAGGTAAATAAATAAGATGATCGAATATTTGGGAGACGGAAAATAAGAATTAAGGAAATAATAGAATTTAAGGAAGATAATTAAAATACAAGAATTACCAAAATTGAAAGGAATGGTGTCCTCCAACAAGTGTATTATTCCGATAGAGGGTTCGGAATTAATTAGGAAAGCTAATTATTCAATGAGGTCAAGTGATCGGAATGCCTAGCTGGAGGTCGCTTCCGATCAATAATATTAATGTATAATTAATATTACAGCTTAATCTTGACTGAACCCTTCGGGTCACACCTAATCGTGTAACCGAACTTAAGTGACGAATTAATCCGAAGGATTAAATAAGTCAATAGAGATTTTACGAACTAAGACGTCGGATTCCGAGCTTAGAGCGTCGAAGTCGAGCGTTGAAAGTCGAGTCGAATTTAGGAATCGACGAGATGGAAAAATTAATCAAACAACAAGTCAACGTACATGAAAATCCTAGCCTCGCAATGGCCTAGACACACGAGGGCTAGGTAGGCTAGCATGGCTAGCCGAGGTTCATGCCGCAAGCCAAGCACTAGCCGCTAGTTGAGCTTGGTGCGCGCACGCACAAGCTAGGATTGATGGCCGAGTGCGTGGCGCAAACACTAGGCCACCAGCAGCTATGCAAGGCGCAACCTACTAGGCAGCCTAATGTTGTCGCAAGCTCGAACCCGCATGGCCTACTAGCAGCCCGCTTGCTAGCGAGGCTTGCTGGTGCTTGCGGGCAAGGTCGTTGGGCTTGCGGCAAGCCAGCCAGCAGCGCATAGCAGCCCAGCTAGCTTGCAGTGGGCTTGCGGTGCTTACAGGCCGGCCCAGCCGAAGCCACAACGGCCTTGACCGGCCATTCCTTGTTGCCCAAGGATATTGACTGGTCTTGCCTTATTGTGATTGGTGGGTTTGGTGGCTTGGGGAACAAGGAGGCCATGTGGGTTGTCCTTGTGGTCCTCACCTAATCCCATGCTCACCTTATGCCACTTGTTGTTTGATGATTACCTTGCCATTTTAATTTAATTTAGAATTAAATTAATTCTTTCCTTTTGCATTTTACCAACTATCCCACATTGAAAGATGATGGGAATTCTTAGGGACATTTCCTTATAAATACCCATCACTAGGTATTGGGAATTTCACTTAAGTTGGTGAATTCTAAGGGATCTCCAAAAGCGAGAAAACCTTAGTTCGTAAACTCTAAGTTATTTTTGGTCTAGCCCCGTCTAAGCTACGGGGTAGGGGCCGGTTACGGTTCGGTAGCGAGGGTGTGAGTCGTTGGAGGTTTTCGCACTTGCAGAACTATATATATATATATATATATATATATATATATATATAATATATATATATATATATATATATATAATCCGGTTTTTAAAATAAAATAAATGGACAATAAATCTTATCCAAAATCCAAAAATAATAAGTAAGTTTTAAAATGTTTTTGGCGTCAAAATTCAAATATCATTTTGGCTCCAAAATTCAAATAGTAAAATAAATTACTAAAATACCCTTTTTAGAATATTAATTAATTAATTAGAAAATACGTTTCAAAACTACGGGGTTTTATAGAGGGTGGTGGTGTTGACCACACCCTCTAACAACAATGAAACTTTTGAGTTGGAACGCCCAAGGAATTGGCAA